ACAGAGGAAACTACCATGGGCCCATGGGGGCCCACAGAGACTGAACCCCCAACCAAAGAGCATGCATGGGCTGGACCTAGGACCCCTACACATATGTAGCAGATATGCAGCTTTTTCTTCACATGGGTCCCCTAGCAGTTGGAGTGTGGGCTGTCTCTGACTCTGTTGCCTGCCTTGGATCCCTTTCTCATAGCTGGGCTGCCTTGTCTGGCCCCCGAGGGACAGGAAGTGACAGGGTGAACTGATACCCATGGGAATCTCCCGTTCTCTGAGAAGAAGGGGAGGGAGGATGAGGGAACGGGTATGAGAAGGTGGGACTGGGTAGAGAAGAGGGAGGAGCTGTGATCAGGCTGTAAATTAAATTAATTAATTAATGAAAGAAAAAATTTTTAATTTTTTTCTCATATGCTATATCTTGATTATGGTTTCCCTTCCCTTCCCTTACTGGATCTACACCCTTTCTGACTCTCACTGAAAAACAAGCTTCTACAGGAATATAATATTATAATATAAAAATAAAACAAAACTAACAAGTTGGAACTGGACAAACAAACAGAAGAAAAAGAGTCCAAGAGAAGGCGTGAGAAACAGAGGCCCACTTGTTCACACACTCAGGAATCCCATAAAAACACTAAACTGGAAACAATGTATGCGCAAAGAACCTGTAGGATGAAAAGACTACAAGAGAGAACAAATATATATATAAATAAAATTAAAATAAAAAGTAATAAGATAAAACTAAAAAAGAAAGGAAGAAAGAGCCCTGACCCAACATTATAAGACAAGAAAGCATCTAGAGACACCACGACCACAGCAACTCTTACAAAGGAACATATTTAGTTGGGGCTGGCTTACAGTTTCAGAGGTTTAGTCCATTATCATCATGGCGGGAAGCATGCCAGCATGCAGGCAGACTGCAGGCAGACGTGGTGCTGGAGACAGAGCTGAGAGTTCTCGACACCGTGCTCAGCAGGCAACAAGGAGAAACTGTGTTTCACACTGGGCAAAGCTTAAGCATGGGCAACCTCAAAGCCCACCCCCACAGTGACGTACTTCCTCCTGCAAGGCCGCACCTACTCCGACAAGACCACGCCTCCTAATAGTGCCACTCCCTATCAGCCAAGCATATGAAGGCGTGAGTCTATGGGGGCCTATTCAAGTCACCACAGTTGCTGTTGAGTTCCCTTTTTTGTTGGCCATCTGCTGCTGGGCATGGTTTGTTTTCCAGTGACACTCCCTTGGAGGAAACTAAAGTTTGATTTGCAGGTGGTTATCGATTGGACATAGCTCCTGAGTTAGGGATGGGGCCATGTGTCCACTTCTCCAGCTCGAGGACCCCATCTGGTACAGATCCATGCAAGCTGCCTCGGTTCTGTGAGTTCCTAAGTGCGTTTTTCCTGCGATTTAAAGGACTTTGTTTCCTTGGCATGCTTTATTCTCTCTGGCTCTTATACTCACTTTGCATCTTCTTCCGGGAGGGGGGGGCTCCCGTGGAGGGGTGCTCCCTGAGCCCGGAGTGGAGGGAGGTGCTCAGGAGACATCCCATTTAGGGCTGACCTTCCCAAAGTCTCTGCATAATTCCTGGCCATGGGTCTCTGTATTTGTTTCCATCTGCTGCAGGAGGAAGCTTCTCTGGTGATGGCTGAGCAGGGCACTGATCGGCTCCCCTGGCTGGAGTCCTGATAATATGTGTGTAATAAAAAAGCAGCCTCTCCCCCACCCCCACCCCCACAGTCCAACAGATGTGTTGTGCTCTCTCTCTCTGGTGGAGACTGTCAAGATACTTGTCACAAATGACACATCAGTTACCAGGTCTGTCCAGTCTGTTCCCACAGGCTGACAGCAAAAATGTGCCTGCACTTCCCTGGAGAACACAGCTTCCTCCCTGTGGAGAAGCAAGGCAGCTAGCAGGATAAGGGTCCCCCCAAATAGGAGAGGCTATGGAAGGTAGGCCAGGGTTCCCTTCTGATGAAAGCATCCCTGGCCAGAGGGCGCATCACACTATGGAGCATGGTTTAACAAGCCCATGACTGGACTTAGGGAGCAATGCTGTTTCCAGAAGAGATGCATGTCCATTTACCTTAGCGCGCCATTACTTATGAGCAATTGGTCAAGCACAAACCACTTGAAGCCTGTTGGCTTCAAGACCTTCCCTCCCCCAGCCCACTTGCACGCTTAGGACAGCTTTTCCATGCTCACATCACAGATTTGTGGGGTCTTTCTCACACGCCTCCTTGCTGCAGGTAAGTATGCCAGCCTCGTTCTGCTCGAGCTGCCCACAGACTCTGCCCTCCTCCTCCCCGCTGTTAGTTGTGGCCAGTGTTTCCATAGCGTGGCCACCCTTCGTCCTTATTCCTGTCCCTGAGGACCTCAGAAATAAATGTTGATTTCTCTTTCTTTAACATTGTGTTCTGGGTGAAAATGACCTTCCCATTGCCCTTTGCCCTGAAGAAGTTCAGAGAGGTTAAATTTTTTAATCATTCTTCCATCTTGGTAATGTCATTATCCGAAGCTATGACTTTCTTGTTTCACAGAATCCTTTCTTATTCCCATTATAATTACATTTCTATAATTCATGCATACTATTTATGACAGGAGTCATTTTGCAGATACAATGCAAAAACATATAAACATATGAGTAGAAGATTATAGGGTAATGTGTGTAATCTGATAGTTTTAATGTATCATGCCGCATTCTGCAATATTGCCACACGACGTAATGTATATTTTTATGAGTTCTTGACAGCAGTTAAAAATGTTTCTGACACTGCACTTCAAGTGATTTAATATGTTCATTAATTCTGTTTGATAGTAGAGAGCTGATATTCTGTGTTTGAGAGAATATTCTTTACTACATGAAACTTATACCCCAAATCTGCCTATTTTTAATCCTATTTTGAGATGTTAATTTGAAGGAATTTTCTAATCGTATTTTTTAATCCTGTTTTGAGATATTAATTTGGAAGAATGTTTATAGTCAAACAAATGTTGGAAAATGCTAGAT